AAATTCATTTTTAAGGTGAAATAGTATTGTTTTTATTAAAGTATATGAATAATATATAAAAAATTAATGAATAATATAAGCAGATTTTTAGTTTACAAAACAAATATGAGCAATGCAATTTCAAACTTTTGCTGGCAATTTCGATATTGCTCAAGTTTGTAGTATTTGTGATACCTATAACATCGGCTTAATCAAAATTCGATTTTTCTTATGAGTTATTGAGAAAATTTGATTGCAATGAGAAGGATTTCGACGTTTTTGATAAACTAAGAGCTGAGCTTTAGGGGTTCAGTTCATTTATGGCTGTAGTTTGATGCGTAGATCTCTTTTTTATTGTAAATTCTTTCAGCATGGAGATCGAGAATGAATCTTTTGAGAACTTTATGAGTTTTTACACCCGTAAAGAGGTCCTTCGAGGAAAGATAGTCCAGACTACATGAAGATGTGGGTTAACCAAAAAAATCCGATGGTTTCCCCATATTCATGTAGATCTTCGAAAAAATGAGCACCAAAAAAGCCAAAAAAATAGGCTTTTTATTGGATTTGTACACTAGATCAATAATCTATTTAGGATCTGACACTCTTTTTAGCCAGAGATATGAGGTCCTTTCTAGGAAAACGATCTATTCATCCATAAAAAAAATGAATTATCGTTTTCCCCAGAAATTACATGGGGAATGGTAAAAGTAAGGAAAATCTGGGTACAATTTGTGAGCACATTATGTAATATGTAAATTTATCCGCTTTGTAGGAATTTAAAATTGTTTGTTGTTCTGTTTCAGTTAAATTACTGAATTTTTCAAGATTAATATTGTGATAAAAAATAGAATCCTTGAAACATTCTGATATCTTTTCAATGTTTAAAACGGATGCTAAAAAATGTAAAAGAACTTCATCAGTCACTGTGATTTTTTTGAAAAATTTATCCCAATTCAAGCATCCAATTGATCTTTCTGTCATTGTACTTATGCATTGATAAAGTTGATTTAATGAATCCGAAGAATAATCATTATGCTTGACTAGTTGAGTTAGTTGATACAGACTGTCGTCAGCCATTTTAAAAAAATGAATAAAATTGTATAGTAAATTATATTTGTGAAATTTGTGACGCTACATTCAATCTAAGACCAATATCTCAAAGAATTCCTCATTTAAGTATTACTTTTCATTGTTTTTTAAAAAATATCTTTGCTTATTTGTTCACTTTTTTGACATTTATTATATGCTTTTTATCATATTTCCGATGATATGAATATATATTCTATATAAGAATGACGCTACATTCAATCTAAGACCAATATCTCAAAGAATTCCTCATTTAAGTATTACTTTTCATTGTTTTTTAAAAAATATCTTTGCTTATTTGTTCACTTTTTTGACATTTATTATATGTTTTTTATCATATTTCCGATGATATGAATATATATTCTATATAAGAATGACGCTACATTCAATCTAAGACCAATATCTCAAAGAATTCCTCATTTAAGTATTACTTTTCATTTTTGATTCAATTTTCGAACGGTTTTCGTAAATTTTGCATCATTTCATTTTTTAATGGGAAAATCATCTATATTTAATCAAAAAAGAGCAAACTTTACAGACGAAAATAAAATATTTATCAGGGAACAATCTGATAAATACCAAAAATCAACATCGAGAGATGAAAAAACGAATATAATCAAACAAGTTCTTCAATATTTTAATATTAAATACGCCGAAAATGAATCTAAAGCTGTCAGAAGATATTTTAGTTATATTGCAGTTAAAAATATTCCCGCAGTTACTGGAAAATATCCTGATACAATTGTTCGCAAAGATATGCTTTATTCGCATGATCATACAAATATTATTAATTCAAATAATATTGAACGTTACTACCGTTGCATCGATCATTCTTGTCAAGCACGTTATTTAGTTAAAATTGAGAACAGTTCAGTTTCCGAAGATTTACAAAAGGAACATATACCCGAATGCAGACAATTTAAAAAGTTACAAAATGAAAAAAATGATCTTCATAAATCAATGACTCTGACAGAAATATACAATAAGGCAATGGCAAAATTTTCTGAAGACAACGGCACTTTTCAGCAGATTAAAAAATTTATGACAGAACTTGCTGTTGGTACTGATGAAAACCCATTAATTAAAGATTCATTGGTCAGGGAAGTTTATAATAAGTCCAGAAAATTTTCTGTTGGAGAAAAAATTACAGACGATGAAATTGCTAATTTTTGTTTAATAAATGGCGAGCAGTTTTTCATTGGCCATGATTTTCAAGCAAATTGTGAGACGATGTTTTTTGGTTTTGAGAAGGCAATTCAATTTGCAAAAGAAGCCACAGATTTATTTTGCGATGGAACTTTTAAAATTACACCAAAACATTTTCAAAAAGGACAGATGCTAACAATTATGATTTGTGAACCTTCAACAAATCAATATCTACCACTTTTATTTATATTCATGAAAAACCGCACATTTGAATCTTATAAGAAGGCATTTGAATATATTTTTACTGTCAAGGGTATTCAATTTTCAAAGCTAATTCAAATTCATTGTGATTTTGAAAAGGGAATGATAGAGGCACTTCAACAAATTTTCCCTAAAGTCCGTATAATTGGATGCCTATTTCATTTCAAACAAGCTTTACACAGGAAACTTGTAGCACTTTATACAAAAAATTTCAATACTTTACAAAATTCTTTATTTAAGCTATATTCTATTACTCCATTCATGTCTCATGAAGAATTTGTACTTACAATGCATATAATTAATCAAAATAAAGTTGATTCGATCAAAGATTATATTGATTATTTCAACAAAGTTTGGTTGCCGCACTACAATTTAATATCTCAATATAATAATGCAACTGCAATATTCACTAATGATTGCCTCGAGAGTATGCATTCAGAATTTTCTTCGTTAAAACATCCAAACATTTATGAAGCTATTAAGAAGATATCTCAAATCCAATTAGATAAATATAACGCCATCAAAAATAACCAGAAGATCGAGCGCCATATAAAAACCGTTATCACTGATAGCTACAAAAATTATATTCTTGACTGCTTTCAAAAAGAACTTGAGAAAACAATTTTTTCTATCAAACAATACAACGTAAGTGATCTTTCTTTGGCTCAGAACGAGATTTCTCCATATGGTTCCATAGAATCGAGTTCATTGTTCGAAAATATTCCAGTTCATGATGCAGATATACTCAAATCGATCGATCTAACAGATAAAGATACAATGATCACTAAGTTTATTAATGAAAAAAGAGAAAAAATTATGGCATTATTTAATGAAACATTAAATCATCCAGATTTTAATTCATCCACTCCAATTCAAACTAATTTTGAGCAAGCCGATACAAATCAAGGTTCAGATGCTCCAATTCGCTCCGAAAATTCAAATATTGCAGACTCTACAGATTTAGAACCAGAAAATCAAAACCATCCTTCTACAAATCAAATGTCTAGTAATCTAGAACATAAGCTGGACCTTCTTGATCATATTGAAAAACAATTATCGAAAATGCGCTCGTTATTGGGAATTCTTCCTACTACAAATGCTATTGTTGGGCCGTCAAAACAAGTTTCAGTTAATAGCAAGCAAAATTCTGAAAAAAATAAGAAAAAATCTTCCATAACAACAAAATCAAACAATAAAAAACAAAATTCATCCGACAATCCTCCTAAACGTAAAGCTCCTATTTCGGAAAGGATTCTCAGCGATAATAACTTATATTTTCAAGTTCATCGAAAGAGATCGAAAAGCAAACGTTCCACATCTACAGAGAAAAAGAATTGATATATGAAGTCTAATTCCTTTTATAACTACTATATTTTTATTCTTATGACTAAAAAATAATATATTATTTAACAATTTTCATTTTTTTCTTTTAACAATTTCGTTTTATTTCCATTTATTGTTAAATGATTTTTAGCATACACCTTTCTTTGTTCATCTTCTAAATACAATTTATTTTTTCTTAGATATAATTCTATTCATTCAATTCGATCGTCATTTTTCAGTACATGATCGTAATTTTCAATTATTGATCGCGATTTTACTTCAGAATTTGTGCGCAATATTGCTTATCAAAATTATATCTCTATTCTCTCATTTCTGTTTAGTCAATATCATTACACTCCTATTGTCTAATAACATGCTATTAATTTTCTTAAAATTAAAAAAAAAATATCAACTTTTAAAAACAGAAACTTAACATCCTTAGGTCAATGGATTTTGATGTGAGATACATTTAATCTGTTTTTCTTTTTTTATTTTAAATAATTGAATATTTATAGTTGTTATGGGTCTTACATCATGTAAAACAAATTTTCTTAAAGTAAATTTACTTTTTCTTCAATCTTTCTTACATATTTATTAAAAAAATTATCCAAAAAAAGATGTTTTAGAATGAAAAAAAAAATAGAAAAATCTTCATTTATAGTCTTTCTTGAATGTATACGTTTTGATTTTTTTCTTTTTTAAAAAATTCAATTTCTAGAAAAATCGAGAAAAAATCATTTTCTTCTATTTTTGTTAGGACGCCATACCCATTGAAATCTCCTCTCAGGACGCCATAAACTATTCAATTATGGTGTAAACTTCTCAAAAATTGAATAGTTTACATCAGGACGCCTTAGGACGCCAACCCTTTACGCGCCCGTATATCTTGAAATCTTTGCTAAGATCTAATTTTTACACCCTCACTTTGCTTTTCTAAATGCATATATATATGGATATATTGAAATCTTTGCTATAGATTTTGCATGATTAATTCTGAATATGTAAACATGCTGGGAAAACAAGTAATCAATTTAAGGAAGTCAATTTGGAAAATTGTTTTCACTTTAGGTCAGGTATGAGGGGCTTCCAGGGGCTGCGCCCCTTCTAGCCCTGAAGATGTTTAGTATAAATGAAGTTTATATTCGGAGGGCTTCCAGGCACTTCGTGCCCTCTAGCCCCGAAGATGTTTAGTATAAATGAAGTTTTTATTCGGAAAATTGTTCGTCTTCTGGTGTGAATTCGGAGGACTCTTCTTCTTCCTCCTCCTCTTCTTCCTCTTCTTCGTCATCGTCGGCGTAGTGGAGGAGGACGTAGTTCATCCAAATTCTGTATGGACGTCCTGATTTGGATTTAAATGAGATGGACATATTTTGTGTGAGTGTTATTTCAGTTTCGATAAAGAGTTGGTGTGCTGGTTTGAATATATGTTCGACGTAGGAGAATTTGTGCAACTCATCTTCTCCCAATTCTGTATTGATACAGACTTCGATGAAGTCACCACTGAGAATGTCTTCACCTGTGGGCATATCCACAACAATTAAATGAACGACACAATAGTTGTGAAATTCATTAGTAGGAAATACTGTTTGCCGCGTATTATATGAGGGAAAAATGTTTTTTCTTCCCCAAATTCATCTGCTACTTCATCTTCATCGTATCCGTTGTTAAAAGCTTTAAATTCATGTACAATTTGAGCAAATTGTTGACGGAGATTTGGTGGCATACGTAAGCAAGCTTGTAACAATGTCCTACCTTCCACACACTCAGCAAATATGGGAAGGTAGGAACATATAATGTCCGTCAATTGGTCCTGGTTGGGGACCAATTGACAGAGTTTTGTGTATGCCGTTATTGTTTCTTTAACGGTATTTGTGTAGATACGGTTATATGGAGTATTTCCCTGGTTGTTAAGGGAAAAATACTCATCCGATTGTAATTTCAATCTTGACCTCAACTCTTTGTTCGGTATTCTTTGGTCTATTCTTAGAGCTGTATTTGTTCGTGCGGGCTGTGGTTTTAAAACATTCGAGTCAAGTTTTAATTGCTTCGAATTGGATGTCGATTTGAATTGGGAGTCTTTTGAGTTCTCCTGAGCTTGGTTCTGTATTAAAGACTGAATAGCAGTGTCAGCTTCTTGTTTTTCGAGATAGTATTCTATTGAATTGGGCTTCACTGTTCGAGACGCGTACATTATGAAAAATGAACTGTTTTTTTTCGGACTACTCATAGAAAAGTTTAATAAACCGTTTTCGTCAACGGAACCCCCTCTATTTTTTTATTTTATTTAATAGTTCCGTTGGAAAACCGTTCCATCTCAAATATTGAATGAACTATAAACGTTTTTTGTTTTCTATATATACTTTTTTGTCCAACGGTAAAACTTTTTACACAACGGTTTTTGAGAGTCGTCGCTGTTGACTTTTTTTAGAGCACTCAAAATAGTATAACTTTGTCCGGACAAGTAAGGGTCTATCGTCGCTACAGGAAAAGTTACAGGCGTTCCAAGGAAGTATACTTTGAGAAGCCTTTTCCCTTATAGAATGAGATAGGACGGTTATTTTACAAAACTGACAACACTTTGACCGAGTAGTTTTTTGTGCTGAACAAAAAGTGTCATATAAACATCTGTCAAAAACCGCTTTTTAACTTCACTTAAAATGCCACGTAAGCTACGTAAGAATATACGTAAGAGGAAGAGAGCATTGAAACATCCAATAGTAAAACTGACACCACAACAACAGTTGCAACAACAAATGATGAATGACCCCACTATGTTGCAACAAATGTCAAGCAACCCTATGCTTTTAAACCGAGTTATTGGTGCACAGAGTGGAGGTTTAAGAGCGGCACTTTTAGCGAAAATGGCAGGCTATGGTGGAGCTGCAGACGGAACAGCTTATAACCCTCAAAGTCAAATGAATTTGAGTTCACTCAAAAATCAAATAACAGATGTCAAAAAGTCAAACATAGACATACAGAAACAAATAAGTGAAAACGAAAAGAAACTAGAATATGACAGACACACAAAGAAACTCAATGAGTTAAACGTAGAGAAAAAGAAGAAAGAAGAACAACTGAAAGAACTAAGTACAGAGGAATATGCGAAAAAAGTGTCAGAAAAAGCAGCAGAAGTAGCAAAAATGGAACAAGATGTCATAAATTTGAAAAACCATACTACTCAATATAAAGTACTGAAAGATGAAGAGATAAAACAAAAAGCCCTGAAGACATATATGGATAGCGATGAGTATAAAAAAGAAGTTGAAGCAAATGTAAAGGCAGAAAAACTTTTACAGTTGCAAAACCAAACCGTACAGTATGAAAACTTAGCACAAGAAAGTAAAAATAACGACGCGCCATGCAAAAGGCAATGAAAAGCGCAGAATATATAAAAGCTAATAATGACTGGTTAGATGCCCAAGCCAACGCTAAAGCAGCCCAACTTATAGGGTCAATAAGGACAAAAATACAAGCGGATGAAGACAGTTCAAATGAAGCTTTAATGAATGCTGACTTTAAGAATGCCTTCGAAGCTCTTCATAGTAAGGTGAAACTAGTGAACGACTTCTCATCTGGAAAGAAACTGAAGTCTGAAGGTTTCGACAAAGAGTTAAAGAAGTAGCACAAAATATGACGAAAATAACAGATGCAGCAACGAGACAGGCAGTTCAAAGTGCCTATGACGCCGTTAGAGCAACTGTTGTGGAAAGTCAAGAAAAAGAGTTACAACAGACCAAAACAGACCTAGTAAATGCTTTCTTAAGAACGAAAAGTCAGGTAGGACATTATGCTGCAGATGGAACATATGTGCCAGCTGGTGGAACTTATATACCACCAAACCCTCCAAGAGAAGCACCTGCACCAGGACTACCTAAAACATTTACATCGTCACATGGACACAGACACAGGCATGCACCAAAACCAACACAACAACCAACACAACAACCAACAGTTCAAAATCCAGCACCACAACAACAACCAAAACCAACAGTTCAAAATCCAGCACAGCAACCAACAGTTCAAAATCCAGCACCACAACCAAAACCAGCACAACAACAACCACAAACAGAGCAAGGACATAAAAGAAGTAGAGAACTGTTGCATGCTAAGTTCGGTCAAAATGTAAACCTCTCAATTTTATCGTCGGGGGAAGTAACTCAATTCCTTCAAAATTATTCTTTAAATATTGAATTTAAAGTTATTTAATTTGGATTATAAATAAATAGGCTAATACAATATTTAAAAATGAGAAAAAATAACTTTTCAAAGAACTTTTCATAATCTCAAAGAAAATTTTTTATTCAATAATTATATAAATTAATTAACATTCATAATGAAATTGGATTTTTTTTATAAAAAATTGGTCCTACTTAACTTTTTGAGAGAATTTGGCTTTCTCGTAAACGAAAAAGGGGATTTGACGGAGTCAAATCCCCGCTCACAAAAAGTGGACTTTACATGTCAAATTTTATATGCATGTAATGTCCACTTTTATGAGTTTTAGGAAGGAATTGGAAGCCATGAGTTACTGACATTGCATCAGTATCTCATAGCCTCCAATTCCTTCAAAAAATGGGAGAAACTTTGTCCGAATAGTTTAACATTCGGACAAAGTTTCTCCCATTTTAAGAAGGAATTGGAGGGTAAGAGATATACCATATGAACGTATATCTCTTACCCTCCAATTCCTTCTAGAAAGTGTCCAAACTTTGGGTTAATTGCAAAGTATTAACCCAAAGTTTGGACACTTTCAAGTGGAGATGGAAGGCTTTGGGGTATATATTAATACAATATACCTCAAAGCCTTCCATCTCCACTACAAATGTGAGAAACTTTGTCCGAATAGTTTAACATTCGGACAAAGTTTCTCCCATCTTTCAATGTAATTGCTACCTGTGAGGTACTGACTTGAAGTCAGTGCTTCACAGGTAGCAATATCCAAAAATTTAAAAACATTTTATCAGTTCGTTAGAGAACTAGAGCCTCCTAGGTACTGAACCAGAATCAGTGCCTAGGGGACTCTAGTGATCTATATAAATCTGAGAAACTTTGAGGAAATTGTTCGACATTTCCTCAAAGTTTCTCAGCAATTTAGCGAGGAATGTTCGTTATCGTGTAGATATTTATAATATATACATGATAACAAACATTCCCCGCTAAAAGATGTAAAATCTTATAAGAAATAATTGCAAAAGAATAACAAATTGCAACAAATTTTATATGAAACTGAACCTTATGAGGTAGTGATTCAAGATCACCGCCTCATAAGATTCAGTTTCAATCTCAAGTATCTCAAAAGTAAGGCTCTATTTTTTGCCATGTAAAGTGTCACTTTTTCTGTCCAAATGATAAGTTATTCAGAGAAAGTTTCCCAGCTATCAAGAGGGAATTGTTCCTTATGAGTTATATATTCATACTGTATACCTCATAAGGAACAATTCCCTCCTTAAAACGAGAAAACTTGTTCGAAATTGTTTATCATTTCGAACAAGTTTTCTCGTTTTTAATAAGAAACTAAAGGCTATGAGGCACTGATTATATATTAGTGCCTCACAGCCTTTAGTTTCTAATAGATAGCTGGGAAACTTTCTCCAAATGATAAGTTATTCAGAGAAAGTTTCCCAGCTATCAAGAGGGAATTGTTCCTTATGAGGTATATAGTTATAATGTATACCTCATAAGGAACAATTCCCTCATTAAAATCGTAGATATTTTTTACTTATTACTCATGCTTTCAAAATCACAATCCTCTGAAAAGTTATTTTTTATTAAGAATTTAGAATTTTGATAAATACCTTTTTTCAATTTGATATAATACTTATATATTTTCAAAAAGACATTTTGAAAAGATATCTCAAAAGTTCTCTGAAAACCTATTTTTGATTAATTTTGAGAAATATCCGTATTAAATTAATCAATAAATTCATTCAACACTACTTTAATTTTTAAATTCAAAAAATTATATGTGCTTCTTAAAATGTCTCACAAAAATTTTATTATAAAATTATATACAATATTAAAAATCCCACAACATTTTTTACTTTACATAATCGTACTTCCTCGATGATTAATTTCCCCTCAATTCCTATCGTTGACCGAACTTAGCATGCAACAGAACAAGGAAACCAAGAATTCTTAAAAATGCTTAAGGAAGATTATGGTTACCCAGATACTCTTGACTTTAGTGACAGATATAAAGAAGCTATTAGAAAGTTCAAGGAAGGAAATACTGACCCGAACCTATTTAGCTTTATGGTTCAGCACCAAATGGGATATAATTTCAAACCTGGAAAATACAAGCTCGCTAAGGGATATGATTTAATAGCATATCATCCAAATGACATGAATGAATTTACTCCGAGATATTTGGTGTCAGAGCTAAATGATAATTCAACTCTCTTCATGAAACGCGTAAAAAATAGAGACGGAACGAAAGAAGAAAGGTTTATGAGTCCGGATGACTTAGATAGGGAACTTGTTAAAAACGGTCTCGGAATATATGAAATGCCACCAGATGAGGTACAAG